GTCTAGTTTTCAAGAAAATAAACACTTCCCTTCAAAATAATATGGCAGTGTCCCACTGAGAAAAAAAAGGAAAGGATTTTAAATTTTTTTTGTTTCTTATCAATAGATCTCATCACAAAATAGGAAAAAAAATAGATTCATAAATATTATTTTTACTCTCTTTTTTTATATATATTTACACACACATATGCACACTCACACACGCAGACACACTCGCAAAGGAAGCGGTGCGAATTGGCGATAACCGTTCGTGTGGAAGATGAAGCCGATGGGCGATGTCTTGTCTGAGAGGTGACCAAAATAAGGCAACGAGCTCCCACGGTCTCCAAAGTAAAGCACAAAAAAGGACACCGTGGCCCAGCGAGGCCCGCAGAGCGGTCGGCCAGCTCACCAGATTAAAAAAAAAAATCAACGCGAGAAGCGCAAGCGTGAGGATGACAATCTGTGTGTCGTGTGCAGTTGGGCTGTTTTGTTTTAAAAAAAAGGCTGCATATTGTACATTCACAGCTGTCATGCTGTTTTGTTTGATTTATTTTTTTTTCCTTTCAGAAAACTCCCTGACAAGGAAGGGTTAAAGCCAAACGCAGTCACGTTTGATACAAGTGTGTGATACGAGTCATACGGTGCGCACCGTGTTGGCCCCTCGTGACRTCCCCCATAAGGCCAGGCATGTGACGGTGCAATTTAAAAACAATCATTTGCCTAAAAGTGCGCCCCTTTATTTCCATTGTGGGACATCAGTTTTTGCTATGATTATCGACAATAATGCCTTTTTTTTTTTGTATTTTTGGAAAGATCAGGGCCTGTACTTACCAAACTTCTTAGAATTACTCTTAAGAACGCTGCTAAGAGTGGACTTAAGTGTAAAAAAAATCTTAGTTAAAAGCTGAGACTAAAAGTCAGTTATCAAGCGTCTCAGTCTTACTTTAAGCGAAGTGTAGGAGTAATTCTTAAGCGTCAGTCTAAAAGTTGATTTGCGACACCTGGCTGTGCCACAAAGCTGATCCTGGATGACGTCGTTAGGAAAAAACCCGGCATGGAACCATCACTGCCTCGGATTTCACATTCAAGAATTTTGTCGGAGAAATGGCGAGATAAGACTGTGAAAATCCTAAAATAAGTTCATTTTCAACACACTAATGTTGTCAACTTGTACTGATTGTCTGTAGAATTACATAAAATGTCCTCATTTGCATCATGGATACAGGCAAAAAAAAWTWAAWYMAAAA